CAGGCTCCAGAAGACTCTATCAGATAAGGTTGACTCTCTGACCCATAGCATATTGTATAACCATGCTTCATGCATATTCAGAAGTAAGAAGGGGGTCATCTCCCAACAAGCTGATTAAAAGAGACTGAGAAAACAGGCCCCAGCTAATGGTTATACAATAGGGCGCCCAAGCCCCAAGGTCAAATAACTGCTGTCTGTACAGATAACACATAACATTAACTGAGGTGAGGACAGATTTGGAGACACAATGGTACGACATCCAATTTAATATTTAAATGCATTTTCTTTTTAACTCTTTGGGCTATGCCTTACCCAAAAAGAATCCCAAATAATAAAGAATAGATTAACCACACATTATTCATAATGCATCAACATAATCAGTAGAAGAAGAGGAAGAAGAAGACCCTATATGTATCCCCCGGGTTAGCATCTTTTCTATCTGTTTGTTGAATTCACAGTTCAAATACACACATCCACAATAATATAGATATTCTGGCATCAGGGAGTAGTTGGGGGTTTGATGCCTTGCATAAGGACACCTTGACAGTGCCCAGGTGGTGAACTGGCACGTCTCCAGCCACAAGTCCACACTCCGTATTATTCAAGTCCAATCGGGACTCGCAGGTACTGAAATGGACAGTTTCAAGAAAGCTACATCTTTTTTAAATGTTGGCTTTAGAGTATTGTTCTATTCATTCAAAGGCCTACATATGAGCAGATTGTTTTAATGTGCTATTTATTTGATGTGTTTATTGCCGTTTTTGTAGCTTTTTTGTTTTGCAGTTATTGTCTCTCATCAGACAATCGTAGAAAAGTGAAAAACAATAACAGTAAATACTAACAGCCAATTTGTGGAAGGTTTGACAGCTTGTGTCATCCTCTCCCCTTCGACTCTTTTGAAAATCCTTGAACATTTCTCACTGAATCTTCAAAGCCCATATTTTCGGGACTGCGCTACAGCTTTTGGAGTCAGCATGTTGGTTGAAAAGGATGAAGCAGTGAGAGGAAGGGAGTGAGCAGGTCAGAGGAATCCGGGGGATGATGCTGGACAGGAGGACAAATAAAACCGCTGACTTCATGAATGATGCATAGCTTTTCTGTCTTCATTATACACTTCCGGGCAATTTGATTATGCAGGTAAACATGCAAAGCTGTATAAGTGAGAAAGGGAAATGAGATAGAGAGAGTAAGGGAGCGGGGAGAAGAGGGGAAGTGGGTGTTTCTGAGTTTATTGGTGTGGGTGTGCCAATAAGCAGGAGATAGTGAGAAAAAACTGAATACAAAATGGAGAGATGAACATATGAGAGGGTCAGCTGGAGGATTTATACACTGAAAAGTCGACAGGAGTTTTGAAACACCACTCGCCTCATTGTTGTTGCTGTCAGCATGTTTATACTTTACCACCTTGGCCTCATTCAAAAGGAAATGAAAGGGCTTTTATGTTGCCGATAAAGAGTGGCCTGTCTTTTCTTGACTATACATTCTCCCTCTGCTGCCGCCAGTGTCTGCATGACTCGGGTTTGATGTTGTGTTGAAGTAAAAAGGGCATCAGGAGTGCAGAGGCACTTGTGAATAAAAGCTGAAATGTGCCAGGTTCTCTGTCTTCAGCTCTTTTGCTTCTATCAGTATCACAGTTTGCAAGGACAGACATCTGTCATGCCCTGTGACTCGATATATGTCAAGCAGTATGTGTGTGAGAGAGCTGAAAAGCGTGTTTGTGTGTGTATGTGTGTGTGTGTGTGTCGCTCTCCACTCCGCCCCGCATGTGAGTTGTCAGCTGCGGGCGATGTGTCTTTTGTGGCTCTCGGTAATAAAGCCATTAATCACGTTCGCTGTGTGCCACAAACATGCCACGCTGCACTCGCTGCGAGATGTCTCACTCTGTCTGTCCCACGATGCAACATCAGATGCAGCTCACTGGAGTGGAATGGGACACGGCCCAGTCTGGTGTTCGGTGCATTTTTGTGTGTGTGCATTGAATATGTTTGTGTGACCATGTACAGTATAGCTGTGAGATGATATGAAGAATGGATAAGGGCGTGTTCAGACAAAGAAGCACTTACAACCGGAATGTAAAGACAATGAAAACGTATGTTCTTGGATTCACTAATTACAGACTTTGCAGTTTGAGTCTCCTCAAAAGAACACATAGTTAACCATTATTAAATAATAACTGTATGTAACTTGGAGCATTGATAGGGTTTAAAACATATCCCTTATTTAATGTGCACAGTTAGGGTGCAAATCATATTCTTTTTTGTCAAAGGTTAAATTATTTATTCGTTTTTTGCCTTTCATTGATCAATAATTCAGGTTGTAAATGGCTTAATGATGCCTTCTAGAGCTGAAGGTAGGGCTGGGCAATATGGCATAAATGTTCCATAAAAATATTTGTAATTTCATATCTTGATAAAAATATCACAATATAGGATTTTCTTTTTAGTAACTGAATAAAAATTATATATATTTTTTTGTCTTTTGAGTGCCGAAATCCTAGAAATTAAGTTATGCATAACTTTTTTATTAATTATAATTAATAAGTCAATGTTATAAGTTTGACAACTATTAACCTTTAGAAAAGCAAGCAGAGGAACACACAGAATTATGTCAACAGATAATTGTCATTGATTCCTTTTCTATTAAATTGCCACTTTTTAAGCATAACTTCAGTAGGACATTTTATAGTTGAACTGTTAATCAAAAACAATAATCAATAGATATATTCCCCATTTGAAAATCTGTTGTTGCAGCCCTAAAATGGCCACACTTGAGAAGTGTATTTTATCAGTCTTCTCTGTCAACATTATTTGTTTTTCATCTGTATAGAGAGTCGAGACACGCACACACATGCAGCCCGTTGAGTCGGTGTGAAAGGTAACAGCGGCACATGTTGAAGTCAGGTGCTCGGCAGAGTGCTGCGTCACCCTCCAGTCACCACGCTAACTAATGCACTCTTATTTGGCCATCAATCCCCTTTAGCTGATGTCAGCAGGTTTTCTACAGCTCCATGGTCATACATAAGCAATGAGAAACTGTCGATCATCTCGCATTATGGTCCATTTAGGAGATGGTTGATGGTGACGAAAATGTAGATGTGGGGCCAAATGTTTCCCCGAACAAGCTTTACTTAGCAGCTTCCGGACCAGCCACCAAGCTGTTAGAGGAGACATTGTTTGATGTTGCTGTACAAATGGGAATTTTGAAGTCTTGGCTAAATTGTTCTACTCTTGTGTAGGGCTTGGCAATATGAAAATAATCTAATATCCCAAAACTTTCAAACCTGGATATACATTTTGTGACGATATGGTTGGTTTTGCCATCAGGCAGGTAAAGGCAAAGAACAGAACAGCTAAAAAATGAATAATAATACATATTTAATGATAACAGCCTGTTCTAATAAGTCTACCCTCCAACACACAAACACACCCCCCTTGACTCAAACGTAGGACCCCTTTCCAAACCTGAAGGATATTTCTTAAGACATTCTGCCAGGAAGACCACCTAATTTTAATGTATTTTAAATTATTCATTTTGTATACAACTTATATTTGTATGAACCACAAGCCAGTAGAAGAACAAACTACTGAGAACTTATACTAAAACTGCCGCTTCGTCACTTTAAGATATACAAATGTTTTCATATGGTGACTGTGGTTTTATTTATATAAGACAAATGTCCCTTTTATGTTTATTTAATGGACAATAAAGTATTGAATCTGAATTTGTTGTCTGGTAAATTCAGACAATTACACTTCACTGTAAAAAAAAAACACACGGGGTATTACAATATCCAAAATGTGGATTATATCTATTCCCTTATACATAATATTGATATATTTCACAGCCCTCGTCTGGTGCTTTACGCCCTTTTTAATTCAAGTTGAGAAGCTTTTTTAGAGAACAGTGTCCGAATGATAAATAGTGCTGAGTCAGTGGAGAGATAGCTTTGAGTCAAAGGTAGTAAACTTTCTAAATGTATTGCCTTGCCCTACCAAAAAGGCCAGGTTATTCCACTCTCATAAAAATGTGAAAGCCCTTAAGAACCTCATCTGTCTTTGTTCCTCTCACCTAAGGATATGCACAATATTGATCTAGGAGTGCTGTCTTTGCAGAATTTCTGTGCTTCCTGTAATGGAACCCTCTTATTGCTGCACTTTCTACTTTTCGTCTTTTTTCCCGCGATCTCACCCTTGCCTCTTTCAATTTCTGCCTGTCACTCTTGCTCTGTTCCCATCAGCACATACTGTAAGAACCTTCTCACCCTTCAGCATTACTAACACACACACACACACACACACACACACACACACACACACACACACACACACACACACACACACACACACTTCCTAATCTTACTCTGCTTCACCTCTCTTGCTCTTCTGTTTCTTTTCTTCAAATCCTCCCACACTTTTTCCAATGTTCACTTTCCATCCTGTTACCTCTCTCTTCTACTTGTCAATTAAAGGTCACCTATCATACAAAATGCACTTTTTTTATGTCTTTTATACATAAATGAGTTTCCCCGGTGTGTAAGGAGACTCACAAATTGTCAGAAAATACAACCCTCTCTCTTTTCCTCCTCACCCACATCTCTGAAAACGGGGGTAAAATGGAGCTGTTCCAGATTTGCTTCGGACTTGACATCATATCGGAAATGTGGGCTACCTTTGCATTGAAAGGGGAGGCGGAGACTCGCAAACACTTCCACAGAGGGGCGTGGCGAGCAGCAGCTCATTTGCATTTAAAGCTACAGACACAGAATCAGCCCTTTCGAAAACAGGGCTGAAACAGAGGGATATGGGACATGCTAAAATCCATGATCTGTTTGATATTTGGAGCAAAACACTTCAGAGACATGTTTTTTATATATCTGAGACAATAATATATGCCCAAGAAAGAGAATAATAGGAGACCTTTAAGTTATTTTACATGGTAAACACAACAAGTATTGCGTATATTTTCAATTGAATCTCTGCTTTGTTCTCTCCTTTCTCCAGACTTGGACGTGCGCTACTTCTGGAAGTGGAGCATGTTCGAGGACTACCTGCTCTTCTGCTTCGGCTTCACCGTGCTGTGTGCGGTCGTCACCCTGCTGCTGCTGGACTCCGCCATGTTCGTGGAGACGCTGGGCTCCCTGGCCGTCATGTTCGAGGCCATGCTGGGCTTCCCACAGCTGCTGCAAAACTTCCACAACTGCTCCACCAAAGGCATGAGGTACGGCACACTTTGAGGTCGAGCAGGGCTTTGTAGAACGCTCATAACTCACTTTACTCACACTGGCTTACAGGAGCACACTGCCACAGAAGTATAATAGTGCTCACCAACACCCCAAGCACATTAACCCTTATGTCCAGGGCGTGCAAATGATTTATTTCCTCATGAAATATGCTAACACGGTCATTTATAAGCATTAGAGACTACATTAAAAGTACAAAAAACAGAGTTGAGGTTTAAATTAACCCACACGACTGAGTCCTGAACAAGTATCCAACAGTTATCTGTTTCATTGACAAGGATTAATGCATTACCAATGAGGAACAGTGACACACTAATTGAAAAAAATATCAATCTCCCTCTTTCAGGCCTTTTGTTTAAACTGCCATTATTGCAGACAACAAAATATAATTTAACATGCATTCCAAAATCATTTATAAATAAGAATCAACATTTTCCTTCCAAGAAATGTCCCTGATTATATAATAATCACATGTCGCATTTGATTTCCTTGAGGTCAAATTAAAGGTCTCCTTCAATTGAAAGAGGCAGTTGAGGGTGAAGGAGGGAGGTATTCAAAAGGCTTGGCTTGCATTTTGAATGTTTTCTTCGTACAATTATGTGAAAGTGTACATTGATTAGCGCCTCACGTAGAAGACTGCAAGATCAATTACGCCCCTAATGGCTCAGAACCTCATAGTAATTATGATCGTTATTTCCTGATTATGTCTCTTGTCTGTCATCTGGGCAAAAACCGAGCATTGCAGTGTGTGTGGGTATGAAGTGTAGCCGCATGATTGGCTAGTCACTCGTCTCTGAAAGTAGCTTAAAAAAACGAAGCAAAAATATTTGTACTTCCTCTCTCCCATTTTGATTCAAGGTAATATTCAATAAGTATAATAGCCACAAAGACAAGGGAATATGATGATTGTCCTAAAATCAGGATTTTATTGTGACATTCAGCAACTATCTCTGTTGGGAATGACAGGTAGGTGGAAAAATATGTATATATGATTATGGCGTGAACCTTCCCTTTAAGTCTCACTGATTAACTGTGACTGTAGCTTTTAAACCTAAACACATGCACAGAAAATATAATTAAAGCTGGCATTTATATTACCTCATTTCACACACGCATCCATAAACACCAGGAATAAGCTCTGAATATACTTTAGTTTTAAGCAATGGTGTAGTTAAGGATGCTGCAGTATAGGTGGTTTACTGTATGAATTACAAGATGTTCTTCCTTGGTAATATGCTCCATTTCACACAAAGTCACCTCCGGGTATACATCTGGGCTCGCACTTCCTGTGAGCACGCAAACAACTCAGAGTGAATTTCATGCCAAAGATGAAATACACAATAACACTACATTGCCTCAGCGATGACTGATTAATGAGTTAGCAGCATCAACGTGCTAAACTTTTATAACAAAGCCCCTGCTTACTCAGTAATGTGATGATTTATGAGCCACCAAAAACAAACAGTTGTTGGAACTTTACTCTAAGATATTTAATGCCCCTTTTCAGATACTCTGTCATATTTTCTTACCTCCGTATCGATCCCCCCTGGGCTAATTGGACGACTGAAACCAGCCCACTCAGCACTTCTGTGTCCGTGTACATAACATGTATCAGATCGTTTGACCCACATCACGCATACATAACGATTCTCCCATTTGTTCAGTTAAGCTTGAACACACAGTTTTTCCAGATGTGATGATGTGGCACGGAGTCTGAGCCTCCTCTCACGCTATCCTATTTGAAACAGTTAATTGTTGTTGTTCAGTCACATTCCCCCGGGTCCTGTTACTAAGGTGTGAGGGTGAGTGTATGGATCCATTTCATCAAGGACTGCTCACCTTTTCCAGCTCGCCCATATGATAACCTTTACAGAGATTCATGTTGGGGAAAAGGGAGTCCGAGGGAGACACACGCAGGCACGTTCAGTCACGCTTAGCGTAATTATGCTGCCTGGTCAATATTGACACTTTGCACAATAATACCACTACTCCGGGGAAACGGAGGAAGGGACAGAGCGGAGATGGAAATATCCTTTAAGACAGAGAAAGGAGAAAGGTAGACTAGAGATAAGGTATTAAAAAGAAAAAACAGCAGTATGTGATAAATAAAATATAGGGGAATGTATATTGCAGTACTGAGAGAATAAAGATCAGGAAGTAATCCCCTTTTAAATATTGCCTCATCTCTTAGCTGTGCTTTTGGTCTGCATATTAGATTTGGTCCATTTATATATTTCAAACTGTCTTGAGAACTCTGGTGCTGACTGAAAATCTAAAATAACACCGCTTTAAAAGTTGAGCCTCTGTCCCTTACCAACAAATCCTGGTGTTAAAAGGGCCCTTTTAAGCTCATTTTCTGGTTTCATAATTGTATTTGAAGACAACCACTGTGACATGTTTACATGCTTTAATATTGAAAAAGGTCTTTATTTTTCTCATACTGCCTGTGCTGCAGCACCTCTTTTCACCCTCTGTCTGAAACCAGAGCCCAGTCTGCGCTGATTAGTTATTTGGCCTGCTCTGTTGCGATTTATCAACCTCTTAAAGATGCCCCTTAACCTATGATGTCACTATGGTACGGAAGTAGACAAAGTCAAATTGAGGCGTTTCAGGCAGGGAGGGAGTGTGGAAAAGAAACTCCGTCTAGAGGGAACTTTGGGAATTTAGCATTTGCAGACCATTCACATGCACTAAAACCTTTATAACGCACTACAGGAAAGGGAAAAGCATAATAGGGCCCCTTTAAGTTATTGTCGTCAATGGTTGTGAGATTTGTGCGTGTTCCACACAATATCCCCCACATCTAGCCCTCTAGCTTATTTCCACCACTTCATATTGTTTTGGAAATTCAGCTTATTACGTGCTGTTCCGTCAAAGAATAAAGCTGTGTATGCTTATTCATCAAACACTGACCTTACGGAGATGCCGGATTTTCATCCTACAGCATTTGTTCCTTGACTCACATGCTTGGCATTTGAAAGCACTCATTACTCAGGTGGAACCCACAATTGATTGGTAACGTTGGGATTTGTTTTATATAAACAACAGTGTGTTTTTGTGCCTGAATGATTGCTCAGCACTTTATGCTCTGCTGCCTGGGGAGTCCGCCTGTTTTTCTCCTACTCTCATTAAACTTTATATTGTGTGCCTCCTTTCCAGTTTCCCTCTCCCAGCCGTGCACCAAAAGCTGCCAACTTTTGTAAAGTCACTCAGTGAAATTGAGGAGACTCCAACAGTGGCAGTCTGTCTGTCCTGATAACTGAAAAGTAGGCAGAGTATTGCTTTCCTACTTACCTGATACTTACCTATGTGTTAGTTTACTTTCCTTGTGTGGAACAGCAGAAGTAGATGAGAAAATGTGGACAGAGCAGATTGAAATACACCAACACCTAAAGTAAGTTCTGATAAACAAAATCCAAATACTTTATCTATCCTGGGGGAAATTAGGTTTTGTGACAGTTGCATCATTTTAGTTTAAGTACTTGTAGCCACTGGGACACAGTGTCTTAGGCACAGGAACAAGGCAGGACGTCCTCCACAGCACAGGGACCCTCTGGAGACTCAGGTTGATGGTGAAGATAAGCGACAAACAGTAAAACATTTAAATAACCAGGAAAGCCAGAACTTATCAACAAGAAAGGCTTATATAAATTATTCTCAGGTTGCAATTAACCTCGGGTTTCAGTACCCTATATGCCTATATCATGAATGTGAAAAGTAGTCAAACTACTAGTCGAGCCAAAAGACTAGAATATATTCACAAACACCTGTTTCATTTGTTTGTGTATGCGGTGTATTCAGCTCCCCTCTTTATGTCACTCTGTCTTTCACAGTTCAGGCTAACACCATTCAAGTTAATGGTGGTCCTATTAACGTGTCCCTTCAATGGCAGCCAAATGGTGGCTTCACATTTCTCTTGAGGCGACTATTACCTTGGGGCCATTTTAGAAAAAAGTGCCGGTACCTCTACAGTCTGGCTTTGGAAGACATCATGCAGACATGTTAATTGTCTGCATTCTGATATGTGAACCAGAGTTTGTGTCCCAAAAGTAAGGGTATCAAAACAGTGTTGTCATGTATAGCACATGTACACAGTGTATATGCATTACTGAGCGAAAAAAGATTTGATTAAAGAATAAACTGTATCACTGTTTTTACAGTATGTACTATCAAAATAAACAGTTGTGGTCAAAGTGATTTAGCTATTTAGAAAACTAACTAAGCTGATAGCCTTAAAACTGTAGGTGATGGTAACAAAACAAAATGTTGAAGTCTGAAGGATATTTGATCATACATTTAAAAAAGATGTAGCCTATTCTTTTAAATGGACAGCATTGGACTTTATTTTTATATAGAAAGTATGGAATGAAGAAAGTAATTGACGTACCGAAACTGGCAACTCAGAGTTATCTTTGAAAATGAATTTGTCCCGTTTGTTTTTAATCGCTATATATACAGCTAACAAAGCTAAAATATTAAGTTAATTAATCAAAACTTCATATAGGCTAGGTTCATCATCATCATTTTGGTATAGTAGTTTAATCTTTAACTTATTGAAATATAAAAAACAATCAAACATTTAATGTGTTCAAGTCTTTTAATGTGAGGATTTGTTACCTTTTTTTACACTTTTGATTAAAGCAGATTTAAAAGAAGCCATGTCTTTACAGGAGCTAGTAACAGGAAGTGTGATGGATATACTGTGGAAATGTTTAATTATTTCAACACGATTTGACAAGATAACAGGATTTTCTCTACGAACATGTCAACTTCCATCACTGAGATTAGTAAATGTTGTATCTTTATGTGAGCTGTGTTTGTATGGATGTTTTTATTTCATGGGTAAAGTATAGTCTGTAAGCGGAGCACATGTAATAGTGTTTGCTCGGGTAGAGTTAACACGATCAAAGCCATTGTTTTATTTGTGTTGTAGCTCTCACTGTTAAATTACAGTCATGTCTGTCCTGGGGCAAGACAT